TTGTCCCGGCCTCGTTCATGCGCTCGACCAGGTCTGACATCCTGACTTGGTCGTCGCAACCGTAGGCCTGCAGCATTGGGGGGAAGGGGTAGGGGGCGGGTGGGACGAGGGGGCGGTACGCCGTTGCAGTGAGGAATCGTCACGGGACGAGCACACTGGACTATACATGCATCAATGTACAAAATAGATAAGGTACGCTTTTCTTTACTTGGTGCATCGTTGAAAATGTGTTCGTGTTGTGCATGCTCTACCAGCAATCAAAATAATATTTGGTGCTTCTATATCACAGGGAGGGACGGGCTGTGGGGCCTTGAGTGCATTGACCTTGCTCGCGAGTATGGAACACTTACGCACACACACTCGACTCCACGAGCAACACGTACTAGACCCACCGCTGGGAAAGAGCAGAGTCTTCCAACATTTGCAGTAAGTCAAACTCGGCGTGAAAAAACATGTTAAAAAAACGTACGTAGTAAGTAGGAAATACGCAATGACCGTTGACATCGTTTTCACCGGCACGCCTCTTCGTGTTCATTTTAGCGGTTGTAGCGAAAAGCAGAAGAACAATTTGTAGGAAAACACGGCTCGATAAAATGGGTACAATATAATTGCTGAAAACCTCCGATACTTTTGAACATCAAGCAGCTCCCACGCTTCTTTCGTAGTCCTTGGTTCAGTTTTCTTCTGCCATCTCCTCCTCATGCCTATGTATGTTGCGTCCGACCCTCACATGTCCGCCCGGGATGTGCTTCCTCAGCAAGCGAGAGTTCCCCAATATCTCTTTCAGGGCGGCGACGCGATCGTCTTCGTACACCTGACCACATCGTGCAGGTGTGATGGTGTGGTTTAGTTTGGAGTTTTCTGAAGTTGAGCATACGACAACAACTTGGTACTACAGAATTTCGTGGTCAATTCGACTTGTTCCACAAGGCCAGCAAATATGCCAAACAAGACTGCGACGGCGAAACGTCGGGGGTCCCGTCTGTACACACCTGCAACCGCCGACGCTGGAGATTGCCGTTGACAAATTTGTACTGTGTAACGCGAGCAACCCCACCAAACATTTGTACACGGACGTCACCGTGCAAGTTTGGCACACATTCAGTTCTATTGTAGGCTTGGCCCAACAAAGCGAATATCGTCTATGAATGTGAGACCTTGCCTGTCGCTGCCTCAACTCCTCCAGGGAGTACTTGATGGCGGCATCCGCCGATGCTTGCTTTTCCTGCAGCTCTTGCACACCCATCTGGCAGTGTTCCTGCTGCTGCTTCTTGACTCCCTCCACCCATTCCACAAGCAAACGAGCTTGTTCCGCCTGCTCAAGGTCTGGATTGTTTTCCCTCTCTCGGCAGGAGGATGGAGCATTCGCCTGCTTCGACAACATCGAACGGTTGTTGGGCCTAGTTAACGGAGAATTGCTCTAGCCAAGTAACGAGGTTTCTTGATTAAGCCCGTACCTGAACGCGCGAACGTTACCGAGCCCCTCCCCCCCTAGAATGAAAGTCAGAGCTGCTCACGGCTCCATTCCGGGCTTATTGAAAAACAAGCCACGAGGCTGATTGTTTTTTTTGTCTCTAGGAAAAGGTTCAGTGGTGGGCGTTGGCCGACGGTGTTATGTTTTATTGTCACGGAGAAGGTTGTTATTTCGTGATGCTGCTGCAAACATCGTGAAGTAGAACCACGGAGCTGTAGTTTGTTCCCTAGCAAGTCACGGAGTGGGGTCCTGTAATGGCATCGCTGGGATCCATCCACGCCGTGGAAATATCCGTGAAGATCGCTTCAAAATATACTTTTGGCAACAATACTATGTGCAGTAGTACTGTAGCTGTAGTTTGTTCCCTAGCAAGTCACGGAGTGGGGTTCTGTTATGGCATCGCTAGGATCCACGCCGTGGAAATATCCGTGGAGATCGCTCCAAAATATACTTTGGGCAACAACATTAAGCGCATTACACAACGACACACAATTAACAATAACAGCAACAGCTGCAGCAATTACAACAACGACCACAACACGAGTTGCTCGCGCGAAATTAGGAGGTATCGCGGATAGAGCTAGAAGACAGAGTGACCAACAACTCTCCAGCCAAAACGTTTGCTTGCGCGCGCAGCACTCGGTAAGATTGCTGTACTGTAAGTTGATGACAAAGAGGATCCGACTTGCAGAGGGTTCGATAGGAAAAGTCAGTCCCCAGCAGATGGATGCGATACTCTGCAGTGACCCAACGAGACACAGAGTGCACCTGATCAAGAGCAGCAACATGGGGCATGAATGGCGGCCGTGTGAGTGCCTTCTTGGTTACCCCCATGCTGTATATGTCGAAACAGGGACAGGAGCCTTACAGGGAGGGCTCATACCACTTTGTACTCGGCCTATCAATGATATGTAGGCATGAAGGCGATGGCGGGTCTGTTCGTGTGTGAGACCGCGATATTTCTGGGCCCAAGACCGATCGAGGGATGATCACCAACCTTGAGAGCCCCTCTTTCGGCTTGCCATTGTGCGACGATCGTATCCCCCTGTTAGCCTAGACCAAACTATAAGTACGTTCAGCAATCCGCTGTAAAACGTCTGGCATTGAGTCGCGACGGACGGGTAAAGTTTCTGCGGCCACACTCTCACGTGTAAAGTCTCCTGCTGCTGCTGTTCGTCCATGAGGACGAGTGCGCTGCTGATGGATGAGTGGGTCCCTGGAGGCGCTGCCCCGTGGTGGTCTCTCGCCGATCCCTTGAGGCTGGGAACACCCTGTCGCTCACTCGGTTAAATTTTCATCCTGCCTTTTATACCTCGGATGATCTGTTGATTCCTGATTTTGGCTGTAGTCGGTACCTCGTATAGCCCCCGCGAGTGATGGTTACAGACACGATCAGACACGATATCCCTTGTCACGACCTACTCCTTCTTCGTTTCCGTGCTCTCTCAGCTACTTCGTTCTCCTCTCTCACGGGTTATATGCGCTGAGGGACGTTCAACGATGTGAGAAGCAGGATCCACAGCTGGAACCTGGATTCCGAAAAATACGTACGTCGTGAGTTCCTTTTCGGGTTCGGAGAGGGAAAAACGACAATCTCGCCGCATGTACTGACGTCACCTTGGCGATGCACGCCCTGGTTTGACAACATCCTGCTGTAGATTGGATATGCAATCAATGCATATGCGCAAATGAATCTCTCTGCTTTCTCTTCTATCTCCCCCATGCTGCTCTATCCCACGCTTTACATTTGTTGATCTCTTCACAGCGACTACAAATCGCGAATATCTTGGTCAGGTCCACCTCTACAAAGTTTGACTCATAGCGTATGGAAGATCATGCTCTTTCTTATAAACGCTGGACGACCTCTGTGTATCCTGGAACATATGTACTCTACAGTACATGGGTCGCGTCTTTCGTTGATCTCCCTCAGAGTGCCTTCCACCGAATGAACTAACGTGGCAATCACGATGAAAGGAGCAAGTAAGTGAAGAGCGGGAACAGGCCCGGGGCGCCTCCTCTCGAAATGCCCTTGTCTGATGTCACGCATGTATTGTTCGAGGCAGAGTGTCGTCCCATTGCGTACAGCGTTGGCCATCGTCGGTTATTTCAAGGCCGAATACACACAGGGAGAGGGGGAACAAGCGTGTGCGTGCGTATCGTAGAAGGAAGAGAAATCGCGAGAGAAGTTAGGTGTGAGGAACAACACAGAATACGCGTTCGCGAATTGGGAGACCGCAGGATGGCTGAACTACGGTGAGAACTTCACAGCAGAGAGTTTTTTTACACGGGGGCATATATGCCCAGGTCTCGGCTGGAGCCTGGAGCCCAACCCCAATCAATATTTTACCCCAAAGGGCAAGGAATACAGAAAGATGGTGATGGCAATGATTTGATGGTTTTCGCGTGGCTATCGTCATGGTGCAGTTAGTTGAGACATTTGTGTGGTGTTGTGCCTCCCTTGTCGATCTTCCAGGCCAGGATTGTACGGGTGTTGTGCCGTATGGTTGGAAGCTTGCCGTTGGCCGGCAGCTCTTGTTGGTTTCTCCTGTCCCTGAATAATTCATTTTCAAAGCGCTTAGGATCTGCTGCTTTGCTGCTTGTTGTGGGTGGCCGAACTGAAGCACGACGCGGTCGTCGCCGCTTTCTTTCACAAGGGCACGTATGCATAGGAACATTTAGACCGTGACTGACGTAGGCCAGATCGTTGGGCTACGTTCATGCTGCATTAACATAACGTAGAGAGGCAACGAAAGCCAAAAAGGGGTGCTAGCACCAAGCCCTGTGTGCGATGTAAATGGCAGAAACGTATGCGCTGGTCAGGATAGGCAAAGTGAACACGTGTGAAACGAGCCAGCGCCGCCCGTCTGTTCAGGCGAGACATGAACAGGCAAAATCAAAGGAAATGTGGGCAATGAATGCCGGAGGCGAAGGGGTTGCTCGCGGCGTAGTCTGTTCCACGTCGTTCTCTTCTTCGCCGTCGTCGTGGTCATTATCGTTGCCGATGATCAAGGTGGGTTGTTTATCTCTTCCAAAGTCGCACATGAAAGCACGTACAGCACTGCCCTGCGATATTTCGAATCTTGCCGTCTTGAATTGAAGCCCCTACACTTGACGCCGAGATCATCTGCCTCTGCCATTCATTTCTGCCACAGTGAGAAACCAAAGTGGGTAACCTCAATGTGCCAGCCTTCGAACGTCATCTGGTACTGGGTTCCTCAAAGGAGCTCGGCGCTCGTTCGCGCCACACCGCTCGCTCATCCCTCCCTATTATTCGCAAGAACAGAAAGTCAAAGATATGCCAAATTCATTCGCGAAAAGAAATGTAGGCTTGGCGTCACGGTGCCGCCTTTCCCCCGAGCGCGTAAAAACTGGAACCCTGCACCCTCGCAACAGCAGTCCACCGGCGACCACTAGAAAACATGACACCAGCACTCCCCGGAAACGCACACACCCTCCCATCTGATGTTGCTCGCCTATGTCGCCTCCCCCGCCTCAACACCCTCCGTCGGGACGATTTCCTCCCGGTCGTCTTTCGGCGTTACTGGGGCAGCCGACCGGAACTGGACCCCGGGAAACCGGTGCAAAGCAGCTGCCACTTCGAATCGCCTCGGCAACGCAACAAGCAGCCCGCCAAGGATCGAATTCGCCGTCGCCGCTTCTGCCGTGGCCTGCTGCGTGTCACGGCCTTCCGCCGCAACCCCGGTATCACGGACGAACAGTGCTTCGAGACCGAGGCGGCCATCACTCCCCCTCCCGCCTCCGCACCCTGTTGCGGCGTCCAGCAAATCAAGCGCTCCCGAAACCGACAGGAAGCCCGGGGATCGCTCCGTCGCCCTCGCGATGAAATCCACGCCAAGAGCGCACCCCCTCTCCATCCCCCCACCGCCCACGAGCTGGCCCACTCTAGAAAGGTCGGCTGGAGGGCCTCCGCTCCCGCCGCGGTGGCCACGGCCGCAGTAGCAGGGACAGGCATCTTCGGTCTGTGGGGGGCCGGGGTTCCAACGACCCCCCTTAGCGTTCCCTGCGATCGTCGACTCACCGTTGGACCGGTCGTCGCTGGAAGTGCTGTCGACCTGACGCCGCCACCCGTCGCCGACACTATCGCTGATTTCCTCGACCACTCCCGCGCCGCCGTCGTCGCCACGGCCATCCCCTTCTCGTTCTCGTTTTCTCTTCACGTTGGAACCAGCCCCGACTGCTGCAGCAAGTCGTAGCAGAACCGACTCCGGAACGACAGCACGCGGTTGAGGGTCCCCCGGCCACGGAAGGCGGTGGACCAAACCCCTTCCGGCGTATTGGACACGCCCCACGCAAAACCGTCGAGATATCTGGGTCGTTCAGGTGGGTTTCCGGGGTCGGGTGAGTACATGGAAGACTCAGGAGGGCTGGGATATATCAAGACAGCCACCCGAAAGGGGGATTATGAGCTTAAAAACGTGGACAACCGACCGGCGTTCAGCTGAAAACAAAGGGAAGTAGGGTCGCATCTCTCATCAACCAAAACAACCGAAACGCCAAGATCTGGGTGACATTTTAGGACAATTCACGGTGTTCGACGCTTGGACCGTGAACCAAAGCAATAATGACCAGCGGAGGAACAGAGAGACTGTTGAAAGAGAAGACAGTCGTAGAGTTGCTTAGACTTACGCTATGCGCACGCTCCGTGGCGTCGGAAACAACGTAGTTGTCCACCAGAAGGGCCGTGTCGTGGACGTCGAAGTAGTCGCCGCACCCTCCGACCACAATCACCGACGACACTCCCAGCTCCAGCCACAGCGAGCTCACTCGGTAAATGAACTGCATGCCCGTACAAGCCGCGCAGAAAATTTTTCATGGGAATGGTCACATAACCGAACTCGCAGCGAGTTGAGGTAGAAATTGCGGAGGTGCTGTCTATGCGCGCGTACCCGCTTGGAAAATTTCGCGGCAAGGACACGAGCCGCGCTCGATTGGCGCCCCGCCGACGTGTAGCACTCGCCAAGCGCGCGCAAAGGCGTTTCATTGGGTAGAAACCACACCAATGCCGACGACCTTGCACATATATTGTTATGCGCCACCACAATACATCATGCAACAATACAATCGTCTTGATCCTTATTGGAACTAACACCGCGGCTTGCCCGCCGCGGCCGTGTCATACTCTCCAGAATGCTACCAAAATACTGCTTCTGGACACAGGAGCGCGTCGATTGAGGTACACAAAGCGTCTCCACAACAACCCGGGGACGGGGAGTTTCGTCCCCTGAAGACGCTTTTCTTCCCCGCGCAAGAAAGACACTTGAAGTAAAAACAACATGCCTGCACTAAAAGTGAGGTCTGCTGCTGTAGGTGGTCGCCGTTCGTGGATACAAACGTTCCGCGTTGGCACACGCCAAGATGGAGGGAACAGGCCATGGACTGCAGCTGACCACTGCTGACGCGCTGGAATGATGCACATGTGCCGTGGGCCTACAGAAACACAAACCATCGGCTGAGTGCATTGCGGAGCTGCAACTCTTCCAATATAGGAGCGAGATGTGCTCGGTTTCAAACCAATGTCCGAATTAAATGAGAAAAAAACAGACCGAGTTGCTCACCGGTGTGATGGGCTCATGGCTGACCATAGCCCTCATGCGGCTGTCCCTTATCATGAACTGCAGCGAGGGGGGGAGGCAGAAAAAACCCAACGCGCATGGGGCTCGGACGTAAAGGCATGATCGGCACATGGCTATATAAGCACTCTTGGTGTTACATGGAAAAACATGATCGGCACATGGTTATGTAGGCACTCTTGGTGCTACGTGGAGAGAGAAAAAAATGCTCGTATGTGTGTGACCTTCCTCCTGTGTTACCCTGGCGGCTACGCCAAGCACACGCACCAAGAGGTGTGTAAGACAGGAGTCGGAACAAAAGAGGCGAACGCACGTACATGGAACATTTTTGTTTTTGGGTTGTCCTGGGTCATGACATTTGTCGATCGTCGTCGCCGCTTGCAGGTGTTCTACCAACGGTACGGTCCCTCGCTTCTACAACCGACGAGATACGGGGTCAGCCAGAAAATTTCCAACATGATGTGAGAAGGCCTTCGGCCACAGGATTTTCATTCCCTCAAGGCAGCTGGCCCACAACCGAGCTTTTCCTGCAGCATCAGGTACACGAGATAACGACTAAAAATGCTCTTCGCCATCGTTCCAACCCCCAATCTAGCTGCCGGTACGTGCCCGAGGTTGTGTTGCGGCGACCACCGAGTCGTCCGGCTGGTTGCACCGCTTTTTTCATCGCACTGCAGTCCGGTACAACGGCACTCTTCACGGAATCGTGTCATTCAACCAAAACACATACACGTGGGAACGCCGCTGTTAAATCAGTAAAGGGCATAAATATACTATTTTTTCGTATGCAAACGATATACATACCTGCAGCAGGCTAGTGCGTGTTGAGCTCTGGGGGGGGTGACTGTGATTCACAGAGCGGTCGGGGTGCCAATCAGCTATCTACAAATACAAGGTCTCTCCCAAACATATAAACCGCCCTTCATCGAGGGAGGCAGCTGTGTTCAGTCCTCGCATGCAACTAACTCACCATCTCCCCCCACTCACATTCCCGGCGCAGGTGTCTTCATCCAGCAGCAGCGCCGTCGCCCCTGCCTCCAGGGCCTCCACGACGTTGGCCGCCTGGGAGGTGCTGCCGCTCGCGGCTCCCGTCGAGAACCGCTCGGTCGTGACTCCCTCTCCGCCGCCGCCGCTGCCGCTACCGCTACCGCCGTTGGTTTCTGCCGTGCCGCCCTCGGCACCGCCCACGGCGGCACCACCGCCGCCAGCCGCTGTCGTGTTTTCGCTGGCTGCAGCCGACGCAACACCTCCGACGGGGGCGGCGCGGGCAGGAGGAGCTGCGACTGCCGAGGGGAGAGAGGAGATGAAGGGCGAGATGTCTACCGCCGAGACCGGTCGGCCGTCCTCTGCCCGAATCGTCACGGCGCCGGGGTCCGCCACGGCCAGCTCTCGCCCGTCCCCGGGGACCTTGTCGTACACGCCCACGGCCAGCGCTCGCAGGAGGGTGGACTTTCCTGTTGTAGTTCATGACAGTACATAGTACCATTTTATTCCACCACCACGACAGCATGGTGGTACATACTTTGGCGGGATTGACGCTTCGCGGCGCAAGCGAGGGCGCGGCTCAGCGCCGCAGCCTTTTTTCAAGGAGGGTGGACCCATCCTGTTCTTGAAGTACAATTTTATTCCATTACCACGACATAATGGTATCATATCTTGGCGGAGTTGAGGCTTCGCTGCGCACGCTGGAGGGCGCGACTCAGCAGCGGCAGCACCCCAAGTAGTTATCAAAAATGAGGTCCGACCCAACTCATTATTTTTTTCTTGCCCGGGGATGGGGGTGCGCACCATCCCATTGGATAGACCTACAACAGGTGCAGAATTCCCGAGCTTGAGGGACCTACCTCCACAGCCACACACAACAAGCACAGGTGTATGTACGTATATCATATGTGTGTTCAATACCACTTTTTCGGATCTGACCGTGGTAGCCGCCACCGACGATCACCGTCACCCCCCTCGGCACGAGCATCCCCTTGACGACACCCCGATGCGGCAGCCGGAACTCGCCCCGGAGGGATTCGGGGCTCCGGAAGGGGACGGCCCCCCTCGAGATCTCCATGGGCCTGTCGTCGGAGCCCCCTCTCCGGGGCAGCACGCACCCGTCCGCGACGAAGGCCACGCCGTCGCTGGCCGCCACGAGCCGACGCAGGTGCCTCTGGTCTTCGACGCTCTTTTCAACACGAGCAGTACAGCGAAGAAGGGTGAAAGGGGGCGGCACGTCATGGGCGAGGGGAGGTGCAAACAGGGGTGGGAACGAGAATCAAGAAGAGAAAAAAAGCACGGTCGCTGAACGGGAGCTCAAGAGCACTGTGAGGGTAGCATTCGATATACGGGGCGGGAGCTCTTGCGCTGGGCACGCAGTATCAGCTACATGAATACTTATCCTGGTCTCATTGAAACTTGTCTGCTTCACGCCAAGGGCAGAATGATTAGATCGACTTCCTTTTTTGGTGCAGGACACGTGAGAGCCTTGAACGAAGCTCACGCAACTCTATCTGGGTCACATTCCCCCATGCCTCTTTCCTTATTCGGGACATCCGACACTGAGAGTCACAACCTTCATCTACATAACCTCAGTTTCATGCTGCGCACCCACAGCGGCAAAAGACTTGAGACTTCTGACAAAATGCAGCCTCCTCTGGTTTGGCGGTTCAAGTAATTTCGCGCCGCTCTCTGATTTGCCCAATGCACCTGAATCGGTTCAATCTCAACTCTGGGTGGCCACGCAAAAGCTCACGCCGGGTGCGGGTGCTCTCCCGCACCACGCAAGACCATTCGCTTGCTGCGTTCGGGGTGGCGGCGTGAGGGTGCAACCAAACTCGCATGGTCTCGTGTCATGAAAAAATCAACACGAGGATTCCAACACACCTGTTTCCCGTGCAAGGGTACAAGAAACTTTGTCATTTTTGGCGATACATAAGCCTCATGCGAGCAATGCGTGCACCCAGTACATACCTCAACGTGTGCACGGGCCGCAGCGGCGTCCAACCCCCCGCCCGGGTGGACGGAGCCCAATAGAGCCTGCTTCACAATCCCACGCAAAACCTCCGCCATCTCCGCCCCCCGACCTCTATCCTGCTGTTGCTCCTGTGCGCCTCCACACAGCTGCCGGGCTCCGCCGCCGCCGCCCCCGCGGGCCGGCAAGACCTCAAACACCACGCTCACCGCGCCGGTGGCGGCGGAAACAGCGGCGCGGTTCGTTTCAAGGACGAACTGCCCGACGGCCTCGCTGTCGTAGTCGGACCGGATGCCGTGCGAGGACGCCGCGGGGGAGGCGGCGGCGATGGCGGCGTGGAGCCGGCGCGCCAAGAAATCGCAGAGGGCCACCGGCTGTCCGGTGCGGTTGCCCGCAGGGTTTGTGGCGGCTGTTGGCGGCAGCGGCGGCGGCGGCGATGATGGTGTTGAGTGAAAGCACGCGTCGGGTAGCGCGGTCGCCGAGGCTGTTGCGGTGGCCGCCAGTCTTGAAGGAACCGGCAGATCCATGACGCCGGGGCAAAATTGTTGTGATCGTAATGTTGGTCAGCCGGTTGGCGTGGTCGACGAGAACTAAATGGTGCGGACCATGGCGGTTAAATGGTTCTATTCTGTAGCAAACATGTTCGGAGGAACAAAAATTGAAAGCTATCCTCCGGCTCACGGAGTCTCGTACTGAAAATGTTACCCTCGTATTGGTACAGGGCTTCATGACGCACCGCTTGCGCATGCTACCTTCTGTCTGTTGCGGGGGCAGCGATGTCGCGGGCTACGGGTGGGTTCCAAAATCCAGCGCATCTGGACCCAAACCAAACGCTCGTCGCTGCTGTATTCACTGCCATGACCCGTGGGTCCCGCAAGGCAGCCGGTAGTGCAGTACGAGCTATGCTGTAGCCTCGCAAGGTTGGGCGTGTAACGTGAGTGAAGCAGAGGAAGATGGTTTATTATGACATTTTTGGACCGCAGCTGCAGCCTTTGATACTGTAACACAGAGCCAATAGCATGACAGCATGCACGTCCCTCATGCACACATGGGAGCATTTTAGGTTGTCACTGTGACAATGCGATGAACCTCGTGCACTACTACTGTTGTACTGCTATGTAGCGCCCCGCCGTGCCTTCGCTATTTGTCGGTCATGAAAAAATTGACTTGTTCGAAGGCCGTGAGAATCATGTTCGGCTGCCCGTGTGACAACCCCTTCGCCGAAACACACAGACACAGACACAGACACACGTTTCTCTCTCAACGAGCCAGCCGTTAAGAGCGCGGTCGATGCCGACTGAAGAAACACGCAGCACACCTGGCCGGTGCGTCGCGCATGGCCGTTCGGAGGAGGGTGATCCCCAATCCTTGGCCCAAGTCCCAGCACCACGGGTGGTCGTCGTGGCCGAAGTGCAGCTGATGATCATCATGCCGGAGCTTCACCAGGGCTTCCTCGAGCGAGGCTGGTACCCGGCTGCTCAGGGCCTCTGGTGAGCTCTGGGGCGACATGGCCTCTACTGCAGCGGGCAGTGTATGGCGTCCGCAAGCAGCACGCATCAAACGTCGTGCGCTGGTACACTGCTGCTGCTTGTCTCCGGTGTCCTCCTGGTTCTTGGTACTTGGAGGTCAGCATGTGGTTCTAAACCAGAACCGTTTCTAGAACTTGTTCACATCGTATCATCAGAGGATCAGAGGGTGCATGCAGGCAGCGTTCCATTTAAGCCGCAGGCGTGAAGTGCGGCAACCGCAGTTTGCCGCAACAAGACGCCGAAGGCGTGTAAATTTTTGGCGGTATTCGACGTAATACTTGCAGAAAGTTATTCAAAAACAGATCAAATTTGTTTATATATATGTGGGAGAGTATTTATTACCTCACGATGATTGATATTCAAAGCAGCAGTATTGTTGCAGAAAATCATTCAAAATCAACTCATTCAGTGTCGACTGCTGGGACGAGGGACGAGGAGGATGTTTTACTGTGTTTGTTCTTGGTTTGTTTGCACTTAAAATCTTAGAATGACATGGGGACATGAGCAGGACAAGAGACAGTACACACCAACAACACAACCAACAAAATTACACGTGAGGAAACACGACGCACCAACAACCAACAACCAAAATTTTCCGTTGCTACCGCAGTAGAACAAGCCGTCGACAGAGTACGGGCTGCAATCTGGCGCGTCACATCCAAGACATTGTCTGCGCTGGCTGCAGCCATCTTCTAACGCGATAGGACTGACTCTCTTCTCTTCCTTGAGAGGTTGACATGCTGTAGCGTGTCCGCGCGGACCGCTGTCTGCTGCGTAGTAGCTACACAGGTGGACGTCCACCCCCCTTCCCCAAAATGTCGGATGCCCTCGCCCCCTTCCTTATGGAGACCGTGACAAGGTCGAACACCTTGTTGGAGAAGACAACCAAGGCCTCAAAAATACCTCGATTTCTCCCCTTTCGAGACCTTGGTTGTCTTCTCCAAGGTATTCGACCTTGTCAAGGTCTCCACAAGGGGGCAAAGGCATCCGACATTTTGGGGAAGGGGGGTCGACGTCCACCTGTGTAGCTGCGTTCGCAGCTTGTTTGTGTGCCCAACAGCCGCGTTCAATTGCCCATTCAACATGGGCAAGTACACCCCTCCCTTGAGTATTTTCTGTTTTTTTGTTTTTTTTCTGTTTTCTGTGCTCTCTTGTCTCCTCTCGTGCCAACATTTTTGCCGTGTTTGAACCCATTTCTGAAAACGTCTCGCTTCTAAACGTTCCTTCGTATCAAAAACTTAAGGGTCCAAAAAAATTTTCTCGCCTCACAGCGAGAAGGCGAAAAAAAAGGACCCCAAAAAATTTTCTCGCCTCACGGCGAGACATCAAGTGCCGCACATTTTTTTTCGCCTACGGCGAAAATATGTGCGCTGTCTAACTCTCTTGTTGCGGAAAGCCGCAACAGAGACCCGTGCCGTGTTGCGGATTTACCATTTCGCGGCGGAAATAGTGCGATTCCGCAACGCCGCAACAGCTAAATGGAACGCTGCATGCAGGTATGCATCAACACATCAGCACCGAGATTGCTGCTTGAATCCGAGATGGTGCTCGCTCGCGGACGAGACAGAGTAGCTCCCAGCTCCCAGCTCCCAGCTCCCAGCTCCCAGCTCCCAGAGAGAGAGAGAGAGAGAGAGATACCACGAACCTGCATTTCGGAACCCGTGAAAAGATGACAACGCAACCTTTCTCGGCTGCTAGAAAAGGCTTCCCGATGGGTCCCATGATAGCCCCCGTGTCGATTGAAGTCTTGTTCAAGGCTTATCCATGGGGTGGATAAGAAAGTATCCCACCCGGTGGGGTATTTAGACATGCCGTTGATGAAATGATTAAGTCTATGCCTCACGCACGCGCCGTGCAACCTACGAAACCCTCTTTTGGGACTTCCATGTCCATATTAGGACCACGGTCAAGCACAACACCCTCCTCAAAAGGGTGGCAGGCTTGATGCTACGATTTGGAGGGAAACAAGTACGCTCCAGGAAGCCATATCCCCATCCTCGCTTGACCAAAAGTCACTCCAAACGAATATATGTCACTGCTAGTGTCTACCACGAGTCCGACGTCGTCTGACCTCTACCAAGCACACCAGTACTCTTCGAGACCAAGAAACAAATTAACGCGGACATGCTCCAGGCCAAGGTCATACATAGCATACGTCCCCGTCCTCGCTTGACCAAAGACGCACAAAGAGAAAACATGTCAATGCCGTTGCTTACGTACCATACGCCGTTCTGACCTCTGTGACGCACACAAACGATTTAATGTGGACATGCTCCAGGCCAAGGTCATCATTCCCGTCCTCCCTTGACCAAACACACAAAAAAAATACATGTCAATGCCGTTGCCAAGGAAACAGACGTGGTTCTGAACCAGCACCACCTCTAGTCTTACAGGCCAAGAAGCGATTACGTGGCCAAAGGCAGAGAGACCAAAATGAAAATGTTACAGATAAACCCGAAGATAGATACGGACGCATGGTAAAAAATCCGAACCCTTACAGTAACGTGCAGCGACTACAGTAACCGGGGGAACAGAGAGGCAAATAGATGCACGAGAACCCTCCCAAAGAGGAAAGTGGCGTCCATCCCTCCGACCTGAAATCTGAGTGCAGCAACCAGACATGCAACCTTGAACAGCCGAGACAAAAGCCATCAAGGCACACGCATCACAAACTCGAGAAACTATTGTCGGCTTCTCTTGGCGGTTGGTTGCAGCTAGACAACGCAAGACCTTACTCGGGGAGACCCCGCCTAATGAAGTGTGCCGGGAGCACCATACATCGACACCGATACAAGAAAAAACAATTATGAGATGGAGGCCTAGAGCGCTGGTTCCCTTCGGGTGCTAAGATTGGGTAAGAACAGACCCACGCGTAGATGCTAACCGAGCAAAACGTGCTGAAACGGGTGTGAGGATACACATTTCCGCTAAAGAGCCGTTTTTTACATGGCTGTCCGGCTTCCAAAATCCCAAATTTCCAATTTCCAACTTTGCAGATTGCCAAACAACCAACCCGTTCCAAATTTTTCGTTGCCATTCCTTTCCAAATTTCCAAAACAGCATGTCCTCGGACGCGAAATCGAGGTTCAATGGTCTACGGATTCGGGAATTTGGAAGCAAAATAGCTGTTATACATAAACGGCCCACAGGAAACCAATCGAGAAAAAGTGAGTGGGCGACGAAGGCAGACGATAGACGACATACATGCCCAAACAACGAAATGTTATTCGCCAACACAAACAAAATCAAACGAAAGAATGCTCTAGGTTTCTCCATCCCCCTGTGCCCCCGCTGGGTGCGTATGACTACGCATCACCCAGAACTTTCACTTCGGTTGGCATACGGAAGTGCTACACTCTATCGCCCATCACACTACTTTAGACAAAGCTCGTGACGGTTTCGGTCTTGTTTCCTCGCGGTTCTTTTCCCGAGGGGGCAAACCAACTACCCGCCACGAGCCACATGTGATGCGACATATATCCTCAAGCGGCGTTGCAGCAAAAACAACACTCTCACAAAAAAAAAAAACACCCTCTACAAGCGAGACTCCATGACGGAGAAATCAAGGACCCCCCCTGGGAGGTCAAGGAAAACCTTTAGGGGGAACGGATCGAATCATCATGCCAATCTCTCCGGTTTTCCAAAACCGGGTTTCGTATGTTACATCGTGGAGGTAGGCTGCCTGTTTTGCAGGAGCTGGTGGTGGTGTGGGCTCTCTCCATTCAGTGCGGGGAAGTAGTTGCGCATACGCGTGACGATTGTTCGTCGAGCTCGGTGTTCTTCAGTGGTGGTCTTCGCGTACACGCTCACGGCCACGCGCCACCATCACCACCACCGCCACCTTGCTTGCCGGGGTCTCTCGAATCTTCCTAGTGGAAGCTGATGCTGACGCTCACGTGCTTCGTCACCAGCAGGGCGAGCACCGCCGCGGCCGCTCCCAACGTTCCCCGGAACACGGGCTTGATCCACGCGGGAAACCTCTGGGTGATCATCATCTTCATCAATGCCGGGATCGGCTGGTCGACGCAGAGAGGCACAGGCAGCAACACCAGGCAAGCTTATGGCACTCGGCAAAGAAACACGAAGCAAAACGAGGCATGTTTACGGCACTCGACATAGAAACAAGCAGCAATCGAGGCATGCTCATAGAGGTCGGCAAGGACGCAAACAACAACAACCGAGGCATGCTTTTTTGGCGTTCTTTTGGACCAGCAGCCTTCGCGCTGATGATAACGCTGGTTTTAGTAGGGGCTCCGGGGTGGGGTTGGGGGTTAGGGTTGTTAAAGGGATACGAAAACCCCTCTCTATTTCATAGACAAACAATAAATCCTCGCCAAGGCGGCCCCTTGGGACGGACGATTCCCGCAACCCTCGGACACACACCGCCAGCCTGTTAACCTGGAGATCACATGGGTAGGGGGTGCATCTTCGGCGCGAAAGGCTACTACAAGGCCTTGACGAGGGCGTTGCACGAAAACTCAAGGGCACCGAGACAGGCAAGGAGTGGAAGCACGCCAGCGGAGGAGGGCCCCCCCCGCACTCCAGGACATGCACGAACGTGCCTATCTGGCGCTTGACGAAAGCTGCGAAAAATCAAACGGACGAATTATCTACTGAGAAAACACACACACAATCGCAGAACGGTAACTACGGAAACCAAGTAGACGAACAAATCTTCCCAGAAAAACAGAGAGGGGGAGAGGTGACAGGTTGGACGGAGGCAGGGATGTCCACCCCGCGCTCTTGAATGGCCCGCAAAGGCGGTTGGCGCACCGATAGCCCACAGACAGAGAAACACGAAGAGCTTTCCGCTTCGCAGGGCGCGTACACAACTTGATCCAAAGAGCCTACTACAGGACTTAGATCAGCGCTTGTGCTCACTGAGAGGGGAGGGACCATCGCGCATCGTTTCGAGTGAAAATCCATGCGGGCCGGACGACAAGGAAAAACAAATTCCAACCACATGGTCGTAAGTTTGTTCTTATCAGTCCCTGGCGGGCAAGGGTCCTAACCAACGAGATCAAGGCCTTCCTTACTCACACACTTCATGTTGTACACGGCACAACAATCACCTGTGGTTTAAAATATCGCCATGATGGTGTGGAAAGCCGCACACGCACGCACGGCGGTAGTCCACATTCTTTGCCAAGTGTGGGGAGGGGTGCTGCGTCATGTTGCCGAGCTACTACTTCGCATTCACAAACACATTACATATTAGGTAGGGGTTGCCGTTGGTGTCGCTTTACTGACATCGGTGTTCGGGTACTTGGCCAAAGGGTCGAAGCTGGCAGACTGGAAGGCGATCGTTTTACGGTGCGTGAAGGTATCGAAGGACGCCTTTCCTCTCGAAAATCCCATGCCGCTTTCGCCTTTACCGCCGAAGCCTTCCTCGGTGGACAAGCTTGTAGAAAAAAAAAGAAGAAAAAAAAATACAGACGAAGGACGTTAACAATCGTTGTTCGAGTCAAGCTGCAGAAAAACAATGTACAGACGAGTAAGACGGAGGGTGTTAACAATCGTTTTTCACCCTGAAGATCGAGACAAGCTTCATCGCAACAAAACGCAGCATAGACGAAAAAAAAGACGAGAAAATTAACGACCGTTGTTCCCGCGAAAGAATGAGATGGGGCTTGTGGCGGCACAACGCCCGGCATGGGTAAGCCGACCACCGACGAATGCATGAACGAGCGGCGCTGAGAAAGTTTCTCTCCCTCCCTTTCGGGCGGTCCAAACCACGCCCATGACACCCACAAGCCGTCGCCGGACTCAAAAAACGATGCGTGATGGCAAAGAACGGGCTAAGGCAAGGCAGAAATGACATCAAATCGTCAGCCCTGGCTTGGCTTGCAGCAAACCCACCCTCCTCCTCCTTTCCTGCCATTTCACCAGCGCCCGAAACATCCAAGTGACCACAAAAAGGATACGTTTCCGAACGCGTTCACGAACCGCGGGGGAACCAAGTCAGGCTAGACGGTAAGAGTAAAACACAATCCAACAACAAATGAATGTCGAGGGTGGTTCGCTTGCGCAGCGCCAAGACTACCTAAACAGGCGATACGATTATTTAGCTATGCGCCACACCAACAACCCCCTACCCTCCCTCCTCTCGCTGGCTGGGTAGCCCGAATAACCTCACTGATCGTCCCCACCCCGTGTACGTTAAAGAGTAACGTACGTTGCGTAGACACCACACCCTGTTTCGGGACCGGTTTTCAAAAGTTCGATTACTCCGGGGCCAAAACACAGACGGTGCCCAAAATGACGGCGTCGTTCGAACCGTCTAGACCGGAGCTTTCCAAAACCGTACTATTCGATGGTATTTCACAAACTCTTCGTCGCGGAGCAATACAGTAGAGCGTCAACAAATCGGTCCAGGGGGGGGAAGAACCCTGCGCGACCTATGCATGCGGGTTCGTACGTTTAACAAACCAAAAAAAAACGCATGCCGAAAGCGACTCCCGCAAAAACACAACGGCGACCCTCACAACACATCCATCTAACCACCCTTTCACCCAATGGACTACCTTGGCATGCAAAATGATTTATCCTCCTCATGTAAGACTGAAAAATAAAGCTGCAATTTTTCTTTTCGGTTCGTTGAGGTGCGCTGGGCTCTTCGAGATGAAAACACGTCGGCTCTATCTGAGCTGTTCGAGCTTAGGAAAACGTCACTGATGGCAGCTAGCTGGCAGTTGTATTCAGACCAAGACATTCACTTTCATCTTGCGTCACGACTACTAGTCCTATGCTCTGATGAGCCCCACTCCGGAAGCGCGCGCCTTGCACATACATGTGAACGATGCAGTCGTTGACGCAAGCCCCCCCGGAGGCGACCTCCTTGAGCCACTTCTCCCCGACGGCCGGGTTCCGCTCGAACACGTAGGCCGCCAGCGGCGTGGGCCTGGACCTGCAGAAGGCGATGGCCTCCTCGACCGAGTTTACCGCCATCACGGGCAGCACCGGCCCGAAAATCTCCTCCTGCGGTATGATATGGTGTGGTGTGGTGTGGCGTGGGGTGGAATGGTGTGGCAGGTTGTGGTGGGGTGTGGTGTGCATTGCGAGGTTTTGCGTAGTGCCTTGTGGGGGTGAATTTTGTTTACGAGACGTTTTCTATCATTCTCACGTGAGACGTGTATAACACTGCGACAAGGAACGCAATATTTAGACTCTTGGCGGGCCTTCGCGCGGCAACTGCAGGGTCGGTCCAGAGCTGCCTAAAAGCGGTGGTGGTGCGGGTCGAACTGTAGCAACGGTGGGACTACGTACGGCCTCTCGAAAAACACGCAGCGCACCGCCTCGTCTTCACTCCATATCAACGACTGGAAACTGAAAGCCGGTCATCGGCAGAAAACCATGCCCCCTGTGTTTTGAGGTGTATATCCTTCACGGCTATAGCTTCCTCTATACCCAACCAAGGGGGTACTCATCATACGTGCGCGCACTTGACGCATCCTGACGAACGCGTGCAGGTAGATCTATCTTAAAGTAGCCTTCCCGAGAATACCCAGCGCGGTTAAAAGTATTCTTTTATGATAGCGTTACGAGGTCCCCCCTCTCTACTTCACATAATACCGCAGTACCGCTTTAATATCCTCGCGATGGCGGTCCTAGACGTTAGGCCTGGCCACCCACCTGCATGAGCGGGCTGTCCGGGGAAGGGTCGGCGATGACGGTAAAACCGAAGAATAGATCCTTCTCAGAGGTCTCGCCTTCGATCACCACCTTGCGGGGATCAGACAGCAACGGCACGAATGCCGATAATACAGCAGCAGCAGCAGCAGCAGCAGCAGCAAAACGCCAATCAAGTCAGGCCTTCAACGAGTAACGACGACAATTTCGAAGGAAGCAGTCGAAAAGGCCACTTCTTTCGATGCTGCCGTCCGTGGGCCACTGTTTCGAGCCCAATTGCTTCACAACAGAAGAAGAAGAGCAGTCCGACGACAGAACAAGAAGAGGGGTCTTGGTGGTCGCGTGTCGTGATGTGAAACCGTCCCTCCGACGTCTGCCCGGCATATTCACCTCAACGCCACAACCAAAAACACTGATACCTACCATACTCTTGTTTCACGTTGCACCATTCGTACCCCCACAAGGTCGCATAACAGGCCATGTAGCGAGTCCACACAACCTACAACAGAGAAAATATGAAACGCCCTGATAAAAACCAAAGGTCTGGTTGCTGACAACTGGGTTTCCTCGTGGCCTTTCCAGGGCAACGCACAATTGTTGGGCAATGATACCGAGACTGGCGATTTTCATTGGTCAGCCCTTCAGCGCGGTCGATGCTACATCATACAAAGGACAAACACGCATGCATGCACTTCAGTCGACTCTTCGGTGCTATGCACAGCGATGAATCAACCAACTTCTAACGCACAAGCACACGAACTACAACAAAAAAACGTATCGGTTTCGCGCATCTCCATCGGCGGATCGGCGGCGGAGCTCCGAGAGCAAAAAAAAAAACAAAATGACCGGTCCCACAGCCGTGTGTCACCCTTTTGCGTTTCGCGTTTTTTTCTTTCGTACACCGAATTATCTCACAACCCACCTCTCCGCCGTGGCCCTCGAGTAGGCCCTGCAGCCTGCCGAAGTGCGCAGTGTTGATGATCCTGCACTTGGTCTCGCTTTCCTGTGTTTTTTTTTTTTTAATATTTTTATTTTTTCATCGGTTGTGGTGGAGGTTTCGTGAGCGCCCGACAAGTGACAACCAGACAAAAGCATACATGCATGGCGAATTTTAATTTTGGTCTCAAAACGAGCAAACGTGCGACCAAAGTATCGCGTGTTCAGACGCGGTCGGTGCCAAACCGTTTGTTTGTCGAAACCGTCGTCGAATACGCCAGGGGTGTTTCGGCTCACGTCAGAACCAGACAGAGGATGTTAACCGTTTCAGTGTTGGGAAAAAAATTCAAGTATTGGGAATGAAATTCTATAAACTTGGGGACGCCCTTCACCATGAAGACAACATTCGGCCTCTTGGAGTTGGCTCCTCCACGAAACGTCAGACCCACGGGAGGCACGGGAACACCGCAAAAAATACCCCCGCAAGGACACTTGGATAGGATAGATAGACTAGGGACGACATTTTTTAGCTACCTTAGGCAAAGTAGGAAGGAACGATTGGCCATCGGTGATCGGTCCTGTGGAAACAATGCTCCGTCTCCTCGGGAACGCGTGGTGAATGGCCTAACCGCAAAGGCATGCAAAACATCAGAGTAACCCCCCCTCCGAGGACACTTGGCGGCTGCCATCCGCGTACGCAAGGAAGTAAGCACAAGATGCCGAACGATGCAGCGCACCCTTCATGCGACTCGCCCGATACCTCACGGCGCTTCGCGCTTGGTGATGTGAGAGCCTGGTCCGGTGAGAACCCGGCGTGCTCCGTCCCGGCTTAGTAGGGATGCGAGGTCAACGGTCTAACGACTACGGCATGCACGACTATGAGCACACATACACACACCCCAAAAAAAAAAATTCCCGGAAGTTTCCCTTTCGCACCTGCTCTTTACCGGGAAAAATCCTAGCGTGCTCCACCTTTAGGTGCACCAGGAAGGCGTCGCGCACCTAAGAACAGAAAAAATAAGAATAGAACGGTATAGGTAATGAGCATGTAGGGAAAAAAAAATAAGAAAAAAGTGTAGGTAAGCATTGCCCTCGAACGGGTAGGTCCTTCCGTGATTGAACGAATGCGTTTGGTATACGAGAAATTTCAGCGAGAAGAGCGAGGAGTATGCGCCTCGCGGGGAAACTTGAGCATCAACGGGTGACATCGATTCTGCTGAAACGTATCACAGATACACCAAGCACCAACAGGTCACACAATCAAATTCTGCTGAAACGCAGAAGAATCGCGTGCAATGAATGGACACGTGTTCCAAGTCGGCTCACACAGGAAGAGCGATGATTACAGCAGTAACCCGTGCAAAAGAAATAAAAGGCCTCCTTCTCTGTGTCTGGAACCCGGAGGGGTTGACGTATTGGAAACACGGCAAGCTTGGAATTCGGGTAGGGGGGGCGAGGGAGTATGAATATTTTGTCACGGCACAAGGATCACCGCCGCCACCACCACCGCCGCCAACACCAATAGCAACAGCAACAACGACAGATGTGCATAAGACTTTGTTCTCGGCTTTTGGAAAAAGGCGAATGGAACGAGGGCTACTACGATAGTCCCATATACATTGTTGTTGTTGCGGACACATCTTCGTTATGGTTGAAAGATGAGAAAAAAAGGCACAGGAAGCACTTTTTGCCAAAACCTGCAAAGGGGATGGAGGAAGAAAGAAAAGGAGGAACGTCCAGCACGTGGCGTGATCGACACCCACCCGCTTGTGTCAACAAACAAAAAAATATATCATCCCCAAGAAATGCTGCACACGAGCAACACATCACAGCATCCCCCCGGACACGCCTGCCTCTTGTCGCGTTGACACCTAACGCAAACGCTGCTGGCTCTAACCTTGTGGTGGATCAACACGTGGTCCGGCGCAATGCACACTTGACCGGCGTTGACATTCTTGTAGTTGGCGATGCGCCTGGCGGCAACCTGTAAATCAGCGCTCTGCGCCCCTCCCCCCCCCCCCCCCCCCCCCCTTT